AGATGCGACAAAGCTCTTATGCAAAGCATTTTCGTATTTTTATACAAAAATGTAAAAATTTAAAAGGGAAATTTATTTAATTTTTATTTCTTATAAATTAGGCTTATAGCTTTTTTTGAATGGCAAATTTAGACAAAATGCTATTAAAAAATTATTTGAATTTTTTGAAATTTTGCCTTTCTCAATTCTTTAAAATGGATTCTTATACTTTTAAATTTTTGTTTTATTATTGTTGTTATTATTGTTTTATTATTGTTGTTATTATATTGTTATTAGTTGTAATTCCAAAATGATTCATTTTACTAGAGATGAAGAAGATTTTTTCCTCTGTTTCTGCGTTTTCAATCGAGATTTTACATAAAACGACTGGATTTTTCTTACTAATCTAATTGTTTGATTAGTCCGTAGTATATATAAGAAAAGTTTTTTACAGTGTAAATCTTCTAATAAAAATTGCTACCACTTTATTATTATTAAAATAAAATTACTATACTAGTAAAGAAATTGGAAAAATGGTACCAGAAGATTAAATGGAAACCACGAATTCACAATGAAATTTCGAAAATTCAAAAGTAATTTATAGTACTTAGCAGTAATTTAAAATTTGCGAAATTTAAATATTTATGCATATCAGAACCCATTGTTAAGATATCATATCAAATTAAAATCAGTCCATTGATGATTTAAATGGTAAAAATTTTCGCAAAGTCACACCATTTGTTAAACGCTTTTATCGCAAATGTTGCTTTCTATCCAGGCAGTGTGATTTAGAGTGATTGATGATTATTGCATTACAGGTCATAGGAATAATTTTCTAAGAAATAGCTAATCTATCATTTCTCTTTTATCAATACTTTTTATCAAATAATTTATCAAAATTTTTTCGGTTTTCGGTTCATGAAACGAATTTATTTCTTTGTCGAGAATTCCCAAGATTATTCCAACGTTAATTTATAATATAATAGCTGCAATATTTGGTATTAATTTTCAAAAATTTTGACCTAATTATTTCTACTGATAGCAATCGGTTATTATTACCTCACTCAATTGACCTATTATAGTAAAAATCTTTCATTCATTGATATTAATTTATTCTAAATAGCGGGTATATGATTAATTAAATTATTTAAGCAATCCCTATGAATTCAATGATTATTAAAATTTATTAATTATTGACTTAATAGATAATATTAAATAAAATAGAGCATATGTGCAATCAGTTCACTCGAATGCGCTTTAAGCCCTTAGGCATTAGGCTTGTGCTCTAATGGTTTAGGCCTAAATTGAAAATAAGATGGACTTATTTTCCATATAATTTCAATAATCGAACGTATAAACCTTTATAATATATTACTTTGCAACATTAGCAATATGACTCTGATCAGCAATTTAATTTCATGATAATTATGATCATTCGATCATGATCTGATGATTTTAAAATTATTATATTTAGAACTCCCAAAATCCTGGTTTCGAAAGAATTTTACTAATACGCATAATAAAATTTTCAGTACCATTCAACACTATTTCGGCACCAAACAGTCACTATTAATAGCTAATTCCATACTTTATTGTACTATAAAATTTAACTGATTTTACCTGTTTTTATAAATCCAAAATATATAAATGATTTTATTTATATGCAAATTTGCCTACAAAGAGAAGAGAGATTATTAAAATTTAATTCAAATATTTTCAAGAAATATAATTTTATTATATATATTATTAAATTTGTTTAAATCGAAATGATTGCCTCGAGCAATAAAATATTCTCAAAGAATTTTTGATTTTTTTTTTGTTCTAATTTATTATTCTATTAAAATAAATTCGAGTTGAATGCTAGTAGATGGTTCGAAGTTAAATTAATAGAATACTAAATGTTTAAGTAGGTTATCATTGTCACTTTTATTTTCATCATAAATCACGAAATTTCGATTGATTGTCAGTCAATTCGTGGTGAGATTATTTTCAATTTTTTTTTTTACCTAAACTATTGCAAAAAATCTGTCGTAGATTTCTTATATATTTCATAGATACTAAAACTAAAATTACAGTAAAATTGTCAAAGTATATTGCTGGATGGATGTGTTCGAAATTACCTCAAGCAAAGAACTTCTATTTATATATTTTCGGTGCAATTGGTAGAATTCGATGGATGGTATTTCAATATTTATTCTTATAGCCAATGAAGACAGCCTAATCAGTAATGACGAGAGTTGTTAAAAAGAGGAAATCTCAGTGTATAGAAATTATTTTTTTGTATAATTTTTTTAACTGCAATTATTATATAAATATTATATATTATATAATTGTTATATATTAGATAATTAATATTAATACAGCTTTATTTTTTTATTATAATTAATGTAATGTTATATTCTTTTCTTATCATAAAATCATTCAAATTGAAACTATTGTATAAAATATTGTTATATCGTTAATAATATTGTTTTACCATAAAACTGAATCAAATTCAGCTTTATCTTAAGTCACATCTTAGTTTGGATTGCAGCTTGGTTTTTTCATAGCCATAAAAAATAAGCAAAATTATCTAAAAATGATAGAGCAGACCAATTATCAAAGCTGGGGAATAGAATAGAATTATTTAAAGTGGTATTAATTCTGATAATCTGATAAGAAAAACGATATTAATTCCTATAAAAGATTCCTATAATGTGATTGGAAAATATTTTTTTCCTGAGAATTATTTAAAGTCTCTTTAAATAACAATTTTGAACTAAGAAAGCGAAAGAGAGAATATTTTCGAAAACAATGGCATTTTCGCGTAAAGCACCTACCACCTGGTGTTAGTTCTAGCATTGCTCTATACAGCATTGACCTAATTACCAGTGATTGCCTCGTTTGACCAATAATTAAATGATTTCCAGATGTTAATCATAGTCAAATTGAAAAAAATCTAAATAATCGGTCGGTACAAGCGGTTTTCCGTTTTGTTTCATTATAGTTGCCTTTGATGATTTCTCAATCGAAGAAGCTTATGCTTAATTAACGAGAAAATTTTCAGATTGTTTAAAAATATATAATTTTATTTGAAATATTTTTTAAAAAATACAAATATGGCGAGTTTTGAGAAAACTTTAATGAAGTATAATGTTAGAATTCGAAGAGAAGATTTTTCCCCTCTGGGCTAATTCTTTTCTTCGAATAGAAACTTCATTCGCCCTCCAGCGTTCTCTTATAAACAACTCATTATTTTAAATACTTTTTTTATAGTTTTTGTACTAAATAATTCCGTTCAACGATGAAAAAAATTTATAAAAAAAAATTTTAAATTGCAATTTTTTAAATTTATAAAATTTGAAATTAATTTCGAAATTTTCAATTCAATTACTACATGAGAATGAATTCATGCAATTTAGTAATTTCTTAATTTTTTTTATTTGTTTATTAATTTATTTCGATATAAAAATTAATATAAAAATATAAATATGCACCGCAAGAAAATTGCAAAATTTTTACTAATCGTTATAATTAATTAGATAATAAAAAGATAAAAAAATTTTCTTTAAATTGAGATAATTTTGCTAAAAAATCCATAAATCCATAAATTGTCTGCAAACATATTTTTATCAGTTTTATTTCTGCTTTTATTTTTCATTCATTTTTGATTTGGCTGATTTAACTGATTACTTAGATGGGATCTTTTCACCGGAAATCATTATTTTTATTATAAAACCTATGATAGGCTCAAGGAATATGCAAAAAAATAATAATAATATAAGAATGCTTGATATAACGACATAAATGCAAAACAAAATTTTTAATTTAATTAATTTAATTAAAATGTTCAGTCAGTTTAATAAGAAATTTTTTGCACTATTTTAATCCTATAATTAATTTCAGATTCGATGATATGATTATCAGTCGACGAAACTAAAAATTCTTTGAAAAAAAAGAGGCCTAAAAATAAAATTTCTTCCTTAATTTACTTAAATAAGCTTTTCGTGAAAATTCTATAGAGTGCAAATAAGGAACGTTAAACAGGTTCATAGCATTTCTTTTTCGCTATAATTTTTTTCCTTCTTCCTTTTATTTACATCATTTTGCCATTAATCTATTTACCCCTCATCGATCATTGCTTTCCTCAATTCTTATTTCGTTGTCGATGATTTATGTCAAATTAAAATCAAACCACATTATTATTGAATTAACGCCAAATAATTATTAAATTAGAACGATAAAATCATTGACAAATCTTTTCTTTTCTTTTTTTTTTTTCAATTTTTTCCTAGCAATAAATATGAAAAATAAAATTTGATTAGAATGGAACAAAACAGGAAAAAAAAAGGAAATGACATTTATCTTTACATTTACAATTATCTTTTAAGCCTTTTGAAAATTAACTAGGCAGCCAAATCGTTGAATGTCGAGCGGATATTGTCATGCAAAAAAAAAAAATTTTTTCCGTTTCCGGATTATCTACAAATTCTCTCCGATAGAAGTATGGATAATCGCTATTTAATCGCTATCTTTATTCATTTTATTAAATACAACTGCAATATAAAAACAATAAAAGAAAACAATTAATTACAAAGATAATAGTGGAAATCAAAAAAACAAAAAAGTATCAATTCGATTCCTCCCTTTTCACTGCACTAAACCTATCATCATGAGATGAAACCACTTCTAAAAGATCCTAAAGGATCCTCTGGCACATTGATATCTTACTACTCAATGGATCAATCAAACCAACAATTAAAATATCTATAATTTACAATATATACTAAATTTTAGCTAAATAATGAAATAATGAAATCCAATGATAATATATAACAATATTTTTTGTCGAATTCTTGAATTTTCATTTTCAATTTCGAAAAAAATTATAAATATTTCAGCATATATTAAGTGAAAATACTGAAATATGTATAAATAATTATCGATAACATTTTTTTGCCTCAAAACTAAAGAAGGAAAGCGACAAATCAACTCATATAAAAAAGATTGCTAAGCAAAAGCAAAAAATAAAATAGGAGAACCTAAAAGTTAGCAATTATTGGCGGTGGTGGAGGCGGTGGAATTTTTGTCGAAATTCCTGAAAGAGGCGATTCCAATGGTGGTGTAAGTGGTTCAGTCGCTGAACTTGGTGAACCGCTAAGATGCTGCGATAGTGTTAGTGCAATTCGTGATTGCGATTCAAGAATGTCGCCATATTTTGGTTTCGACTAAAATATCGCATTTTTTTAAGAAACTAAAAAACGAGAGAATAATTTTAACGCTCGTCATTTCAATCGTTTTTTCTATCATCGAATTTTTTAAATTTATTAATCGTTTACCTTTAATTTATGTTCACGACGATAGTAGATGAAAAAGATAAATAATGAAGCAATAATTGCAATACTGACAAGTAAAATGAATAGAATCGTGATTTCACTAAATTGCGATAAACCATAACGAGCACCGAATAATATCGCACAATCGGAAATGTGGTTTAGGTGCAAAACAGCAGTATCTTTCAACTGTAACGGTGTAGAACATCGAATATTATCATATCGTAAAGTCCAACGATAATTGTATCGCTCCAAGATATGCTTCTTTAGCTCATTGATTAAACAGCCACAATCCCATGGATTATCACTCAAATATACCTAAAACGAAATCCACTGATAAGAAATAAAGAAATATTTGAAATAATTTAATTTGATAGTTCTCTTTTAGTACATTTTTAGGGACAGAAAAGACTATTAATTAAAGACTACTAAAAGATTATTAAAAGACTATTAATCGTATTGAGACAAGAGAATTTTCCATTCTAATCTTCGACTTGCTATCAAAAAATCTTCGCTTCGCTACTGGCCTACTGGCCAACTTATATTTTTAGCATCAAAAATGGCTCTCTAATTTAAAATAAAAACGCTTAGAATTGTAGTAATAGAAAGCAGAATGAGCAAAATAAATGTGTATAACTAAAATATTTCATTTATTTGCCCATAATGATTTTATTCATGAATTTCATGAAAATTCATTCATTCTTTTATTTCCAAATTTCAGATTTAATTATTATTTTATTAATTTAAGACAATATAAAAAGAATTAATTTAGAAAAAAAAATATCTGAATCTGACTAAATTAAATCTTAATTAAATCTATTGAAATCAATAAATTTTTAGCGAAAATTGTTGAAAAATAAATATTCTTAAATTTATTTTATTTTATTATTTATTTTAGCCTTTTTATTTTTGCCTAAAAATCTGTTAAATGAATATTCAAAAAATAGCGAAATCCAATATGAAATCGAAATTATAATAAATCTTTGAACAGAGGAACGACATGCTTCGACATATTTGCTTAACATTTATATGCTAAATAAAGATCAAAGAAATAACTAGCTATTTTATTTATATGTCATTCAATATGATGCTTGTCATATTTATTTTGTATATAATGAATGTATTTCAATAATTTGTCATTCGCTAAATTCTTATTGAAATTTTTCATGTTGAAAATTTTATCGCAAATTGATAGAGTTGATCTTCGAAAAGCCTTAAGGCATTCTAAGTTAAGTTAAAAACAAAATGATTAGTGTTCACCATTTTCGATTAGATTAGCTTCATTGGCTCTTAAATTATTGCCAAAGAGTGTTATTATTTAATAGGGTGCAAATAGTTTTCTAAATAGCTTTAGAGATGGTGATAAGACACGAATCTCGGCGATAATCTGATCATTCAAAATTCTTCTTCAATTGATAAATTATTATCGAAAAAGTGATAAAAAGTAGCTGAAAATTTGTAAAATTTACAAAAAAATTATAAATCATCATTCTGATTAAGCGCAATAATTAATGACTTGGCGATTCTAATAGGCATAAATGATTTTAAATAAATGATTTTTTTCACTATGAGCCGAAATCCGAGAACGAATTTTATAAAAAGCTGCTATGGAATAATTAAAAAAAAATTTGTAATTAAAATTTTAATAATTTTAGATTTTGCATAAATCATTTTTTTTGCACGTCGTTAATCATTTTTATTAATTCAAACTGGGAAACAAATAAATTAATTTCTTTTTTTTTAAATATATTTTGTGGGTTTCAGCTTTTTAATTATTAATTTTAATTTCAATTTTTAATAAAATTTAAAGCCATCGAATTGAATTATAAGCAAAACATGTGATATTTGATACTATTATTTCAACGAAATATAATATTAGATATGTATTCATTTGTTGAAAATCGACATCTTTTGCGAATTCATCGATAATAAATGATACTTTTTGCATGTATAGAAGATCATCGATAAAATATCAAATTATGAGAAAATTTTAGGAAAATTTAGAAAAGTATTTGGTGAATTTTATTTGCTTATGCGCTATATATGAAAAAATTTGATTAAAGAGATTTTTTTAGAAAAAAAATCTGAAAATAATTAATGGCTAATAAGGACCATTCTTATTTAGGTTCGCTCTAATAGTTGTTAGAAGGTGACAATTTGGTTAGAATGATCGCAGTATTTGCGCATAGCAATAGCACTAACTGGATGGAATACTAAAAATGCAAAATCAAATTGCTGGAAAAAGAAGATTCTATGAAAATTTGAAAATAATTAATCATTTGAAAATGCAAAACGACAACTTGATGGATATTTTAAAGCAATTTTATAAATTTATAAATTTAGATATGATAAAACCATAAAAATTTTCGAGAATTATCGCTTATCTTATTTTAAAGAGATCGATTTTTCAGTCTCCATGTTTCCATGGCTTGATAGCCTATTTTCAAAGGAATTTTCCAATAATTAGGTTAAATCGTGGCGTCATTTTCGACTTTTCCGTCAAAGATGAATAAAGCTTGTTTTGCTAATTTTATACTCGAATATATACTATTGCAAAGATTTTGCATTACAATTCATGAATAAATCTTATAAAATTCCATAAGAAATACTAATTAACATACGGTATAGCGTTTCTATAGCTAATTTTTCTTATTCGATGCATTTCGATTATTAAGTAATATTGGAAAAAAATCCATAATCTTGGGCAAAATCCATAATCTTGGAGTTCTATTGAACAATACTTATTGTCAGTTCTTTTTCGTGGATAATCAACAAAAAGAGCGAATTTTAGAAAATAAAGATAACGAACTGAGTCTTATTTCAAAAACTGAGCAAATTATAAATTACTTATCTATTCAAATAGAATGATCGGGAAAGATTATTAGATGAGATGAGATAAGATAAGATAAGAAGAATCCTTGTCTTCTAAGCCATCGCAAGATTACCAACACATGTGAATAATTTGATATATGAGGCTTAAATTTTAATTCTTATTTACATATATTTATATTATCTTTGTGATATTATAGATTGCATTTGCATTGCATTTTTCATAAAAAAAAAAAGCATTCAGCATTTGTCAACTCATTCATTCACTAATATTAAAGAAGCCAAATTATTTCAAATGTCATTATTTTTAAAAAAATTTCTATTCCAACAATCAATCAAAATAACCGTAATTAACTAATTTTATTAAAGTTTTAAAGAAGAAGAGAGATTATCGGGATTTTAAGTCATGGATATTATGGAATTTTGCAATTTCAAATTATAAGAGCCAAAAAATGAATGAATATTGATGACAAGTGATTGACAAACAAAGCAACAACAAAGGTTATCAAACTTCCTTATTGAAAACTAAAGCTATTTCACTGATCATTGATCATATTATATCAGATTCTATAACCTATAAATGCGTCTCTATCAATAAATCACAGTTAATTGGCCAGCTCGAATTCGTTAAAGACTATGATAAGAAAAACATTGTTCACACGAAAAACACGGACTTGTTTTGGACCGATTAATCAAATTATGACATAGTTTACTGAAAAGCCATAGTTTTTATTATCTAATTTTTCTTTTTTTCCGTATATCAATAATTTTGGTCCGCAAAATTTATTTAGTAGTATTAAGAATTTTTTTTTTTTAAAGGCACCTCACCACTGCTGCTTAAACTCACTCCACTGGCTTGCCACATTGAGCAATATGCCAGGAAGTTCCTTGGCGAGGATAAAAATACAGATGAGTCGCCAGTACCACCAGGATTTTTGTACAGGTTCACTTCTGCGGAGAATCAAACCTCAGCATCGGCGCTCTCAATTGAGCAACAACCCACTGAACCATTCGATCCTCAGCATTAAGAATAAAATAATCATACCTGATCTAAATCATTGATAAAACTATCGAGGACATTCATCGAAAGTGATGAAATTCGATTACTCGATATGTCGAGAATTCGTAAAGCTGGCAGAATATATCGAGAATATTGTGGCAGATCAGTGAGCTCATTATTTGATAAATTCAAAAATGTTAATTGACTGTATTCAAAAGGTAAATTTGCTGGAATTTGCGAAATATTGTTATCGGCTAAATGCAGATGTTTCAACGAAGACATATTGGATGTTAAATGTTCATGAAAAACTCGAATTCCATTTCCACTGAGATGAAGCGTTTCGATAGTTAGTTGTGCTGAACCAAGTACAAACGAATCGAAATATTCATGACCATTATATGAAAGGTCAAGCTCAAGCAAATTCATATGTGCAAACGAGTCAATCTTTAGTGAAAAGGGCGATTGACCTAGTTTATTATGTGCTAAAGAAAGCCGCGTAATATTTGTCGACGCAAATGAATATGGTGCAACACCGCGAATATCATTATCGGCCAGATTAAGACTCGATAGCCATGGAAGATTACGCAAATCATTCGTTGGGATTATTTTAAGAGAATTTCCTGCTAATCCGAGTTTCCTAAGCGAAATTAATTTATTCAGGTTCACCTGTCTTATAGAATTTATTCCACAATAATTCAATTCGAGTTGTTCAAGTTGTGATATATCTGATATGACATTGTTAATTTGATATGATGGAATTTTATTTCCATCGAGATGAAGAGCTTTTAGAGTCTCTAAGCCACGAAATAGATTAGCCGATAGTTCAGTTATATTATTGTAGGATAAGAATAAAGCTTCCATTTGGCGTAAATATGTGAAAGCGCCTGTAGGAAGAATACTGAGTAAATTTTCAGCCAAATTAAGCGTTCGTATAGATGGTACACCAGAAAACATCGAAATCGTTATATGTTCGATACGATTTCCGCGAAGATCGAGTATTTCTAGTTTCGGCAATCGTAAAACGCGACTTATAGCTGGTATTCCACAATTAATTAACCTTAGCGTTCGTAATCTCGTTAAACGATTCAAATTATCATCCCATAAAAGCTGATTTGGTTTAGTTCGTGGCGCTTCAATATCCAATATTGTCACTTTATCTGATATATGTTTAATAATATAAGCGAAATCTTCTTGGCTAAGGCCACCAGTATGACAATTTACAGAAATTTCATTTGTTTCACGATTGCTTCGTCGATGAAAATTTTCTTCACATTCACATTGTGGTGGACATTTTGATTTGAAAATTGTAATTTCAGCAAAATTATACGTTTCATCTAATGAATCGAATTCATTTAACGATTTTGTATGATTTATGCAAATAAATAAAATAATAAAAATTATAGAAAAAATATTTATAAAAATAGAATGAATGTGAAATATAAAAAATATATTAAATGAATAACGCATTTTCCTTTATTTTTATTTTTTGGAATAAAAATTGGAAAATTCAAAGTAAATTAGCAAACTAACTCAAAATAGATCACTAACTAAACTATTTTAATGAAACTATTGCTAAGGCGTGGCTCGAATGAAACTATTATTTGCCGAAGGCGGTCAATCTGTGGTCCAACTTTTTTTTTCAATTCAACAACAACTAAATAAGGCAATCATCGATGCATTTAATTTAAGGCGGTTGTCGGCGTTTACCAGAAAATGATTTATCGAAATGATTCTAAGTAATATAAGCTTGATTAACAAAACAAACACTGATTGTTGGTTTTGAATTAGCCATCAGCGATAGCCAAAAGGTCAATCAATCTCTATAACCTCTTAGTAGCGCTTAAGTAACGGATTATTATTGTCCTTAAGAATATTGTTGACCGCTAAAATATTGAAATGGCTTTTATGGATATGAATATCTCTTAAATTTAGATTTTTTTACCTTAAAAAAAAAATTAACGAGAAATTAAATTTTAATAAATTATATTTGATAAATTTAATGAATTGATTTTAACAAATTTTATTTTAATAGATAAATTTAATAAATAAATTTAATAATAATAATAATTTATATTAATTTAAGATTTTTGGCAAGAAATTTTTCAAGAGGAAAATTATTTCACCTATTTTCTATTATTTGATTCATTATTGAATAATATATATAGCTCGTATAATGTGCAATGGTTTAGATGGTCATTAAGAGACGATAGAAACGAATTGTAGTAAATTTCACAATAATTTTATTTTAAATATGAAATTCTTATATGAAAATATTTATAAAAATAATAATTATTCAACATTTTTTCGCAATAACTTTATTTTAAATATGAAATTCTTATATGAAAATATTTATAAAAAAAAAATAATTATTCAATAGTTTTTCACTATCAATAATATTATTCAATTAAAAAATTAATTAAAAAAATAAAAAGAGTTTTTATTGTTGAAAAAAAAGTGGTTAAAATGTCATTGTTTTGATTGATGAATTTTTTCATTTTAGCCAGAAGAAGAAAAAAAAAATTCTTCGTTAAATCATCAAACAATTCATAAAATAATTCAAGGACAAAGTATTATCTTGAAATTTATAATTACTGTTGTTAAAATTCGCCGTATAGTTCGTTAGTTGTACGCATAACTTGAAAATGAAGTAAATTACTGGGTGAGTAGGAAAAGAGAATGTCTAATAAGCGACTGATTTTGAGCACGACTAATTAAATAATGTAATACTAAGAAATAATAAATTGATAAGATAAGATAGATAAGAATCATTTTTATTTGTTTTTTTTTTAATTGGGTTTAAATTTTATCAAAATTTAGTCAACCGATCTGATAATCTGATATTAGGGCAAGTTTTTTTCTCTCGCTAGGTGAAAATTGGGCCATCCTAGAGGAATGCTATATCGCACCATTGCGAAGCATTGGTAAGCCGACGAAACTTTGCTTAAAATAGGAAATTGCAATTATCCTCGTTGAACGGAGAATTTCTTCTGTTAATTCTAAATTCTTTTTGCTGAATTATAAATTCGAGCTTTCCTAACATCCATTTTCTTCTCATTAGAGTGGTTTTATATTTATGTTAAATTTTTTTCAATGTACTTGAAAATATTTTAAAAAATTATGCAAATTTTCAATTTTTTTCAATTTTGCGAATTTTGCTATTCTCTTTTCATATTTTTTTTAATAGCATTTTCAATAGCATTTCAAATAGATAAAACTGTTGATTTATATTTTAAAAAATAATATAATTAAAATTGGTCGATTTTAAATTTTTCATTTTCTTGCAAAATTTTTTTAGATTTATGATAATTTTATTAAAATTAGATTTTTTTACAGAAATTTTGATTGATCTTTCAATGAGACAAAGAAAAAAAAGATCACTGGGCTCACTGGGTTTCTTAATTTTATTGCATACATTATACATTTGCTGATCAGAAGAAAATTTATTCGTTTATCGAAAGAATAAATCGATATTAGAAGTATTTTGTTAAATTGATATATACTAATATAAAGTACCAATATCTGCAAATACTTCGGCCAACATTCGCTTTTCTCTTATAATAATAATAATAAATAATAATAAATTTTTAATATTTGATGGATTATATAAAAGGATAAGTAGTGCTATTAATCTATTTTAATGGTTATCATTAATTATTCACTAAATTAAGAATATTAGTTGAATTCACAAATATTTGGTAAAAATTTGTGGTTTATTATTAGTCAAAAAATTTTTGATAATTGTAGGCAAAAGTTTTCAAAAAATCTATGAAATGAGAATAAATAAATAAATTTTATTTATTATATTTAAATTAAAGTATTATAATTATTTTCAACTTTTTTCTAATTTTTATACGCAAATATATTTTGAACATTTAGAATATAAATAAACACTTGAGAAACAATAAGTTTTGTTTAGTTAGCCAAAATTCAAATAACAATTTAAACCAAAATAAACCATAAATTCAAATTAAATATTCCGTAATATTGTAAATTGCTTAGCAAAGATTTAGGAAACGCTCAATTATATGATTAGTTTAGGTGCTTTAGGTGATTTGTTCTGCACCATAGATCGCATAAATTCCTTAGTTTGGATACCTTGAATTGTTTTCAGACGATTGCTTAAAAAGGAAATTTATATAGATGATTGGTATTCTAACAATGCCAATAAAAAAAAAAAAAAAACTATTACAAAATTATTCATTTGAATAATGGCATTAAACTCTGGTTGAGTGCTGATGAATTTACGCATTTATAAAGTGTTTCTTGATGTTTTAGTAGTTTTGAATAATTTATTTATACATATTTGATATATAAAGAATGAAAATTGATGAAATAAATCCATAGTTGTAACTTTTTAATTAACAATGATCTGCCTTATCATCAACTGCTTATCTTATTTGTTTATCAGTGGTGATTATTATTTTCATTATAAAATCTTCATCAAAACTTCAAGCGACATATCAATTATTTCAAATATTTCACCATGCACTTTCAACTATCTGATATATATTTAAATGAATTGAATAGAAAAAAAAGAGTAGCTAACTAATGGGAAAAGGAAAAGAGCTTGAAGAAATTTTATGTTATTGACAAGATATGCATATTTTTTATCTTTTATCATATCTCTTCGCATTTTGGATAAAACAATTTTCCTTATCGGCTTTATTGCAATAACACTAACAAATTCCTTGTTAAAATTTTATTATATTATAATTTTAGAAAAAATTTCCAAAATTATTTTTTTGCACAAATCTTTTGTACGCAAATTTTAATACTAATTTAATTTAAGCGAATATAATTTCTAAAAAAGTTTTTTGCAATAACTTTTTAAGAATTTTATAAATTAAGAATAGGCAAATTGATATAAACGATTATCGCAAGTAGGAAATCGTGAAAAATTACCAATTATAAATTGAAAATAGATTAGTAATTAAGGTGAATTCAATACAAAAGTTGTTGCAATTTTGTAGGAAATTTCCCGCTGAGTTAAATACTTAAATTTATCATAGACGATTACAATGGATAAGTTTTAAATACATCCCATTGACTATATGGTAATTAAATATTTGCATCGGTGGCAAAATAATTGCTATCGAGAATCGAGGCTTGGCTTCAAATCTGCCGACGCACCCTCTCTTCGTCACTAAAGTAGAAAAACAAACAGAAATAGAATTGCTCAGCGAGTTGTTGCTCATTTTAGAGCATCGATGCTGAGGTTCTACTCCAATCAAAAATAAACCTGGCCAAAAATTTGAATGATAGCGAAACATTTGTATTTTTATCGCCAAAAGAACTCTCTGGCATATTTGTATAGTCCAGCAAACCAGCGGAATAAGTTTAACCAGTAATGGTGAATGTTCTCAAAAAAAAAAAAAAATTATTAGAATTCGGAAAAGTGATAAGTGATAAACGAAGCATAAACTTTTTTTAAGTAGTTTGATAAGTAAATAAGTATTAATGAGACTTTTTTATTTTTATTTGTGCTCTAAAACCAAATTGTACTTATTTAACTCAAATTCTATTATCTTTTCTTTATTTAAATTCTATAACTATTAAAGGACTTTAACTGATAACTAATGACTGATAAATAAAATATCTTCTAATATTCTAATATTATTTATTATTTATAATGATATTATTTGGCAGTTTTAATTTTCATCTATTTCACTGAGTTCATTAAAGAGTGAATAAGGCTCGGCTCATTTCTCAATTTCTTAAAAATTGAATGCCGATTTTAGCAAATATACTGCAAAATGATTGTATCGGAAGACGCATTTCTAATCTCTCCCGTATATTTTCATTCATTCAATTTTTCATTCACAACAGCAATTAAAAATCGCGTAAAAAGAGAGGATGTTAATCAAAAATTGTTGAATTGAAACTAATGAGGCATAACAATTACTAGAAACAGAAACAATCACTCATCATTAATACAATCATTATCACTATCAAATCACATAGAAATAGAAACCACTCATCATCAATACAATCATTATCACTATCAAATCGCAGTAACTATTAACTGATTGGCTCATTAAAAGATGTAATTCGTGTAGCCTAATTTTTTTTTTATAAAATTCATAACCATTGAATAAACAAAGAACAATCAAAATAGCGATACGATACGTTAAAATGACCACTGAAATGTCAAATGTGATTGATTATTTCACATCTATTTTACAGCTCCCTTGGTGATGGCGACAAAATCATTGTTGCGTAGCTTTAAGATTCACTACGAGATTATTTTCCCGAATATTTGCATAGGAACGAATGAGTAATAGCGATTGTAAATAGCGATTTGGGAGCAGTGCCGACCGAATATCACTTCGATTATCAATCACCACAGTGCAACAGTTTATGAAAGTGGACTTTGCATGAAAAGTTCTAGTGCTGGAGGACCATTTGCAGTCCTATTTTCAAGTGACCTAGAGTTTCTAAATTCTCCCATCTTAATCGCTAATAATTAT